TTTATTTAAAGCCATAACTTTAGTCAGAAATGACTTCATTTCACCATTCTGAGTTTAAATGGTGAAGTAGCTACTACTGCACCCCACTGACTCTCAGGATTTCTTCTGAGGAGGGTTTGCCTTTGCTTACCTCTGAGGCTGAGAGAGTGTGATTTGCCCTAAGTCACCCAGTATGTTTCCGTGTCTGAGAGGGGAATCAAACTCTAATGCAAACACTGAAACCATACACCATACTGCCTCTCAATATTTTGCAGAATTTTCACTGATTTCTTACTTGTTCTCCCTGACGATGTCTTGCAACACTGAAAGTCAGTGGAACAGGGACCCTCTTGGTGGCTCTTTCCACTGCACAGGCCTGTGGTGCCACTCTTCTGCCTGTAAGAAAAGAGAAAAAGGGGTAAAAGAGACCATTTCTTGGACTGCGTCAGCGTCAATCAATAGGCGTCATAAAGGGAGGGGGCCCTGATCACAGATGTAGCTGAACGCTGGCACAACCTTTCATGGAAAGAGGAATGATGCAGAGGGTTTTCTCCATTCCACTCATTTGGATCCGATGGCTTTCCCAGACTTAAGAGCTGTTGCCTTAGAATCATAGAATTGGAAGGGACCCCAAGGGTCATCCAGTCCAACCGCCTTCTGCCATGCAGGAACTCACAATCAAAGCATCCCCCGCCAGATGGCCATCCAGCCTCAGTTCAAACACCTCCAAAGAAGGAGACTTCTCCACCCTCCCAGGGAGTGTGTTTCATTGTCAAACAGCTCTCCTGGTTATGGGTGTTGTTATCCCACTTCTGCCACCAATTTGTGAAGAGCCCCTCTTCCACCTAACTTTTCCCCTCTCAGATGGCAGCCCTATGGGTATTGTGATCCCACTGCTGCCCCAATATGTGATGTACTAGACTACTGAGGCAGGACAGTTAAAGTGGCCTCAAGATGGATTATTTCTGGCAGTCTGTATAGGTCAGGGGTAGGCAACCTAAGGCCCGGGGGCCGGATGTGGCCCCCCGAGATATGGGGGGTTTCATTGGCAGGCCATGGGGATCTCATATCTCCCTCTCTATATGAAAATGGCACTGCATTTGCCATATGCATAAGTTTAATATCTAAGCCTTCTGAGATTTAACATACAGCTAGTCTGCACTCTAATATCTAAACCTGGCTGTTAATTACATGTACACAGCCTGGCTGGTGTTTACACAGGTAAACAAACACACAGATACACATATACCGTATTTTCCAGCGTATAAGACGACTGGGCGTATAAGACGA